AGCAACTCATGACTCCTGACAGGACATATGCAATGTGGGAGACTCCCGCCTCTGCTGCTGCCGCCGCCGCTGCTGCCTCGGCCTGGAATCCACAGAAGAATGGAAAATTAAATTGAATGATGATTGTAGCGGTGGCTCAAAAGAACCATTGTGCGAAACTAACCGGAATTACGGGTTCGAGAAGTGACAAACAACCGACATCTTGCAAAACCGTCGCCAGCGCACGCGGCCGCAGTGCGAGTCTCAATAAATCTCACACATCAGCAGCTGAGACTGATGTGCGAGACTGCAACAAGTGTCCCTTCGAGTCCAAAACATGCCAAGATCCCCCTGCTACTTGATTCCCTCACCCCCCACACCATTTCTCCCTCTCTCTCCCTCTCTTTCTCTCTCTCTCTCTCCAATCTGATGGGCTCAGCAAGACTCTGCCCTGCAGGCTTCTTCGCTCTGCTAATTTACATTGGCCTGCAGGCTATCTTCACAGTCAGGACAGTTCAGTTGTATTTTCAGGCTCATTAAGCAATAGCACAAAAAAACAAAACAAAAAAAAACTAAAGAAAACAGGCATCCTTAAAACCTACCTTCCCCACCCCCTCGCTAACTTTCCCGTCCCGAGGTTCATAGGAGACATAAATAATGCCATAAAGAACAGCAGGAAAGCTCTAAATTATGGTTGTTTGTGTTTACTGCATCAAATAGTTTGGTATCCGAGGAAGAGGAGGAGAAGAAGGCGGAGAGGCCACGGGGTCTCGGCCCCTGAGAACCAATCCGGCTGCTCCATTCAGGGTCGGCTCATGCCTGTTTATTTGAAAGAAGCCCCGCTTTTTTAACTTCCCACCCTCTCCATTGTTCGGCCGCTCATGGGGAGGACTTTGAAATTGTAATCTCGAGATATTCAAACACGCACATTTGTTCGGACCTTTGGTGCCTGCAATAACATTATTACTGCCAGACAAGCATTGTCAGCCGGAGCCTGCACTGCGTTAAGCCGCCGCCTGGCTCAACGCCGTCCGCCCTTCAGCGTTTTATTGGCTTGCGAGCCTTTATGTGATGAGTGAGTTTACATGGCGGGGCTAATTAGAAGAAAATTAAAAAAGGATTAGAACACTGCATTTTTGTAAAACTATTTATTTATGTGCCACCAAATCATAACAAATGCCTTCTTGAGCCAGTTCAGGAATAAAATATGCCAGTAATATAATGATTTTTCTCTTTTGTCCTGCTTCTCTTATATATACATGCATTTTCAAACCTTTTGCTAGCAGATATTGTATTTGATGTTTTAGGGTTATATGTAATTTCTGTGTTTTTCCTGTTTCATGATTTGCTTGGGGTTTTTTTTTGTTTGTTTGTTTGTTTTGTTTGTTTTTTTATGAAGCTTCTGTGGAATGTGGTTGTGGTTTCTGGTTTTATTGTGTTTTTCTTGTTTTGGAAATGTTGTTGATACCGTTTCATACTTTAACGGTTCCGGTCTTTTCAGACCCAACTTTTACAGGCCTGTTTCACTTAGTACCCACTTTGGAGAAATTTTGTTGTGCTATTAAAGTCTATCATTTTTAACATTGTTTCAGTTTTACATATTATCACCTGGACGGAAGGTTGTTACGAGGTCCAAATCAATGTCTTACAAAAGAAAGACATTGAGCCTTTTTATAGCCTTTTTATAGCCTTTTAACTTTTTCAAACTTTCACTGGGATTTATTTGCATTTCATGCAACTAACTGACAAAAAATTACAGAGGTCAAAAAAAAAATTTGCTGCAATCATAGCTGCAATTTTTGGGTGGTTGACATTTTTGTGACGCGAACATCTAACAGAATTCCCCCTCCACCTGAGCTGTGGATCTCTGCAGCTTCTCCAGAGCTACTATCAGCCTCTTGGCTTTTTCTGAAATTAATGCTCAGTTTATTCAACCTGTCAGTTTGGCTGGATGAAGATGTCTTGGAGTCTAAAGAGTGCTCCTAGTGCTCTAGCGCTAGGAGGCGTTAGAGCACTTGCCCTTTTTCCTCTGAACAAAAAAGTGCCCTTCTGAAATCTTTCACTTTTTCTTACTGTGTATTGTGTGGCCCAAGACAGAAAATAACTGTAAAAAAAACTGTTTTTACTGACATTAAAGGAATTTTTCTGTCAAAACAGCCAAATTTTGTTGATCATGATTGATTTGTAAAACCAAAAAAAAACTATATGTGGTGTAGATAAGTAAATAAACCTGAATGTGGAGCCATAAAACATATTCATAACCCCTGGATTTTTTTTGGGCCACAAAAAAAAGCTGTGTCACTACAAACAGCTGAATTGAATATTTATCCTGTCAATCTGGGTTGATCAATTAGAAACCTCACAGCCAGTCAAATACGGCATTTATCTGCTGTTAGGAACAATGCAGAAATAACCAGAAAAAAAATTGACCTGTGTTTTTATTTTGCAGGACTCTCATACACACATATATTTGTGTGTGTGTGTGTGTGTGTGTGTGTGTGTGTGTGTGTGTGTGTGTGTGTGTGTGTGTGTGTGGTGTGTGTGTGTACGTGTGTGTGTGTGTGTGTGTGAAGAATTTACCTTTGTATCCCAAAAATGTTAATTTGCTCATTTAAAATATGAAGTAATTTGAGTTTTTTTAAGTACATGCTTTTAAGTATTCTTGAAGTCCAGTAGAAAAACTACAATACTGTAAAACTTTAAGTAGAGTAGTTTAACTCGTTTACATTATATTACATTGAGTTTGATAACAATGTGACACAAAAATAAGAAAATTACTCAAGTTTTACTTTGTAAAGTCTTAATATATATATTGTTTTATTAAGAGTAAGGTGGAGTAAGCACCAAATTGCAGTAATTTATACAATAGCTGCTGGTTTTTGGTTTCAACCGTGCAGCAAAAGGGAGAAAATTGACGCTGCTGCCTCTCAGTTGTGCTCCATCACATCTTTGGCTGCAGGGAGCGCCTGAAATTGTGGTGACATTCTTGAGTTTTGCGAATGAGACCACGAAGTAGCCGCACAGAGTTCCTCGTCCCGAGCGCTCTGCCTAACTCGCCCACTCGCATTGTCTCTAGACTTTCCTCAAGAATGTGGATTTCTATGGCCGATGGCAGGCCAAATGGAGCTGCCAACTGCATTGTCACCTCTCGCGGTTTTTCTCCATAACAATCTCCGCTGGCAGAAGAGGAACGGCTCAATCAATAGCAGCAGAAGAAGAAAAAAAAGAAGAGAAAAGGAAAGAAAAAAAGAAGTTTCTCTTGAGCGTCAGCATGTGAGCAAACATTAGTTTAAGCTCGAGGTCAAAATGTAGATTCCAACACCACTAACTAATGGAACCCACCCTGTTGTACGCCCGGTTTGACTCAAAAAAAAAAAAAAGAGCAATTGTAAAACCGCAGGACACTCCATCCCCTGATTGCTTTTTTACAGTCCAAAAAAGAAGCCGTGATGGAGGCAATTTGCTTCCCCTGCTTTCGCACGGCACGAATCTTTCCCTCATTACCCGGCGCTCAAACACAGGGCACTGGGATGCCACAAGAGGAAGTGGCTTTGGCAGAAAATGTCAAACCGGCGTTTAAGTGTAGGAGCCGAGCCAGTCTGATGTGGACGGAATCAACTTGTTAAGTCAAATGAAAGGTCAAAGATATTTCCCACAGCGCTAAAAAACATAAATAACTGTAATTTGAGCTGCTGGTAAAGAAAAATAAAAAATCAGGAGCTCCACACTGGTCACCTAATGTGATGAAGGCGAAGACATAAAAGCGTTCAGAGATGAAGAAAATGGAAATAGAAGATGTAGATGCAACCGAGTGTTGCTTTGCCTCAACTTCTCTTCTGCAGTTTAGGGGAGGGAGAAAGAAAGTAAGGTAAAAAGAAAATACATAGTTTTTTTTTTTTTTACAAACAAAAAAAGAATAAAAACAAAAATGTGGAGTACCTTAAACATAAGCATAAACAGGCAACCTGTTTGGTAAATACAGTCCACATCGCTATATTTCAGTCTTATTACAAAGTCAGTCAGGCAGGAAAATGTGACAGACGTTGCAAAAGACTTGAGGCAGGAAGGAGATTTCACCTCTCTGCCAACCGTAAAGTTAGAATGACCTAGTCAAAGTCCAGACCCGAATTCATCCAAGAATCTAGAGCAAGAGTTGAACCGATCCCAGTTTGACTGAGTTTGAGCTTCGTAGCAAACACGTACTGGCAAAAACTTGAGAAAATATTGAAAAAACCTGCAGTGGTATGAAACATTTTCAACTATTGGAGGTAAATACAGCGAGATTTTTTATTTTTTTCTTTATATTTTGAACGCCTTCTATCCATTTTTTTGTCTTCCTCTGCTTCATATCAAACTATTACATAAAGACTCAAAGAAGTTGAAGTTTAAGAGTGAGGGTAAAAGTTTACAGCCTCTGTCTGCTGTTGTAACGTATTTCGCAGGGATTTGGTTCCACAGTTTGTTCTTTAAATAATGTTTATTATTTCTCTGCAGCAAAGTAAAAAATAAGCCCATGCACCATAAGTGAACATTGGCACACCTTTAAACGCACAATCTAAAGCAACAGAAATGCACCGTTTGCAGATGGTTTCGATCAAGTGGGAGCTTTTGTTTTTGTTGGGAGGCCTGAGAGAAGAAGAAGAAAACAGCAAGAGAATCACATGAAAAGTGTGTAGCCTAAATCTGTTTTCTCACACCACGCGACCACTTGGCCCTTGAACTTTACGGAGCAGCTAAATGGTTTCATTGGAGCTCCTCTGCTACGGAGAACAGCTCATGCAGAACCAAAACGTTAAAAAAAAAAAAGTTTCATTTTTGGAGCCAGCTGAGGGGGGGAAAGTGCTTCCCATCGAGCCCGCATCGACCTTGAGGAGCAGATCTGCTTTCAAACTCCCTAACACCTTCTGACACAACTCACTCGCCTGCATGCTGTTATAGAAAATGTCTTTTTGGGGCAATGGAGGGAGGGAGAGAGTAAAGGAAAGAGGGAAAAAGCTAAACACCGCTATCTTTGGGTGTACCTGTATCGGATGGATCTCCAAGGACTCCCATCCCACGGTCTCTTTGCGTGTCGGGACGCACTTGCTTGGCATTTAAACACAAACCAGCTGGGCAACGAGAAGCAGCGGGGAGACAGAGGGCTGGTTTCGTCTGATAGGAAATGAAAGGAGCAGACTCGACATCAGGACTCACTCAGGCCTGAATCATCGACCAAAAAAGCTGCGCCTCTCACCTGACGAAGGCTAAACTGTTTTCTGCACCTGAGGGCTTTCGAGAGGTCGGCCATCCGTGACCCCTGAGCATGAATTCTGTCAGTCAAAGGATCGCTTGTTCTTTGTCTCGTTGTGGGAAAATGGCCGTCTCACGTCCTGAGTCAGACGTTTTCCTTTCAACGGTTCTTCCATTCGTGAAGGGCGACCATAAAGTGGACAGATGAAGCTATTAAAGTGGCGAGGGAGCATCGAGACATTAAAAGGGCCGATGTTTTCCCTTCGCATCCCGGTTCGCTTGGGAAGTGTGTTTAGCGGTGTTGACGGCTGCTAATGCTCCGTGGAACCTCGTGTTGGTTTGGTGGCCGCAGTGCGCTGCTGCTGACACGCTTAATGAGACATCAGTTTGGATGTGCTGAAAGACAAGAATTCAGATAATTAACAAAGTGTGCTCATGTGTTATTGCATGTTTCCTCTTATGGAAAATGTGAGCAATTTTAATTCTTTTTGAAACAAAGTATCTATTATAACACCTCATCCTAAACTGCTGGAGGAATGAGACCTGGTTTGTGATGGCTTGGGAAAGTGAAGGGAAAAGTCTGCCTGTACGCTGAAAATTGATTGGTTCGATGCGACTTTGCATACTATTGGCTGGCATTTGTAAAACAGCCAATCCTGTAAAGCCATTTATTTTCCATGAAACTGATTGGTTGCATACCCGAGAGTGGAGTTACCTCTAAGAGCTAAGTCGGTTTCCATTGTGTGTATTAATGCGCATAACATATATTTTGTGTTTGAACAATTAAAATGGACAATTTATGTATTTTTAGATGCCTTCTCAATTATTTGTGGATTTTAACGATTTGTGTCCAGTTGTGGTCCTTAATGTCCACTGTAGAAATGCACCAATACGAAAACGTGAGCCAATATCGAGACCGTATCATAATATGTTCGATAACTGATATTTACCAATATCATATACATTTCGTTACCCTTTCAGCACCTTGATAAACACAACACGCCGCTAACTTCACTGCTGCTTCAGTTGAACGCCCCAAAATCTTGCACTGCATCACTACCGCTGTCACGCAACCAAATACTCCACAACCAACCTCCTCCAATGCAACAAGATGGAAATGAGAGTTGATTGTTGATATTGGGCCAGTTTTACTGATCGGACCGATACCGATATGTTAAAAAAAACATTGAATATCAGCCGATACCGATGTTAGTGCTGATATATTGAGCGTCCCTTGCCGACTGCGGATGTCTTTCAGACTTACAAACATGGAACATTACAAAGAGTTGCAGGCAACAAGCCCATTGTACCACTGGAGGAGCTGCAGATATCAGCCAGCTCAGGTGTGAGTATATCCAGACAGGACAAATGGAATAATGTCAGTTTGGGGAGAAGTGCAACAAAACATGCACTTTGCACTTTTATACTTTTATCCAACAAAGTCATTTGGAAAACTTACATTTTTTTTGTACTCACTTCCCATTTCAGTGCTACATGAACATGTCATTGTAAGGTGTGAAAATATGAAAAGGTTTAAGGGGTCAGAATACTTTTACAGCTTCTGCTTGGACTGTTGACATTGATTGCTCAAGTTCAAGTGCGCAATATGTGTTGTTTTAATCTGTGAAGCTGATGTGTAAGTAAAAAGTAGAATTTCTTCAGAACAGGTGTTTGGTGTTAATTGGGGGCCCCAGAAGAACTCGGCTTGCCCAGGGCAGCATTCACACAAGAACCGCCACAGACCGAAAGAGGAACCCAAAAATAATTTCAAGAATCTCTCCTGGAACTACTGGCCTAATTCTGCACTAGCGCCTTATAGCTGCGACTCAGATCTTCAATACGGGAGCTTATCACAACAAACCTGATTAAACCATTTTCATACTCAGACACACACACACACACACACACACACACACACACACACACACACACACACACGCACGCACGCACGCACGCACGCACGCACGCACACACACACACACACACACACACACACACACCTTCCTGCTGTTTCATCTCCTGCTTCAGTTTTCAAAAACGCATGAAGCTCTCCAGCAGCAGCCTGGCCTTCTTCTTCTTCCTCCTCCTCCTCTTCCTCCTTGCTCCACGCGGCGGACTGTGAAATATTCTGAGGACAATTGGTTAAGTGCAGTTACCCAGTTCCCTTTTTCTTTCTTTCCTTCTTTTTTCTCCCCGAGGTATCTTCCGGTTTTGTTTTGGGGTTTTTTTTATCCTGCCGAGCCTGGCGCCTCGCAAAACGCAACTTTGTCTGGCTTATTAAATAGTTTGACCTGGAGAAAGAAAAACGCCTGTTGCTTCTCAGCCGAGGCCATTGTGAGGGAGAGGAGCTGCTGACAGGCCTTAAATTGCTGTAATGCTGTGTGACCAACAGTCATACCTAATCAATTTCTATTCGAAGTGTGGACGGATGTTGTTTCTTCTTCTCCTCCTACTTCTTCGGACAATTTTTTTGTTCTCCGCGCGTTAATTCGTTTCATGTTTTATGGATTTGGTTTTAGACTTTCTTGTCTTTCGCCTCACCTTACTCTGATGTTATCAGTTTTCCAGATCGTATTTACAGTGAAAAGGAAAAAAAAAACACTAACTCGATACAGTTGGGAGCGCGCTGTTAATGGATGTAAAATGCGCAGGGAAGTCCTCCCCACTGCTTAATTGCGCTGAAATTGGTCAAAGCTACTTTGTGAGAGGCATCAATAAGCCCCCCGCTCTCTGCAGGGAGCCTGTATGATTAAAGTCCCCTCGCTTTCTCGCAGGCCTCTTGATTTGCTCCCCTCCCTCTTTACTCCCCCCAAATACCCCAAAAATGGCGAGTGGGCCAATCGAAACCCCACGCGGAGACGTCACGAAGGCAGCACGAGAAGCTGATTGGATGACGCGGGGAGACGGGAACAGCCCCTGTCCTTTTATAGGCGACCCCCGTCCCACTTTTGCGTAAAAAAACGCTACTGGGCACCGCTGACAGGCAAGCAAGCTCTCACAGTGGAGACCTCACGCTCGAGCCGCTGCGTTTCACCAACGGGCCACGCCGACGTGCATGGCCCCCGGCCTCCTTTATCGTACGATGAATCCTGCGCAGCCTGGGTCACCGTTTCAAGACGCCAAACTGCAGCTTCACCAAATGGAGGAGGGCGCGGAGAGCGACGAGCTCCAGCCGAAAGACATGACCACGGATAAAGGATACAAGCTGCAGCGGAGCAGCCTGCCCTTCAGCGTCGAGTCGCTGATTTCTAAGAAGAGCACCTGTCGGACTTCTTACCCGGCTTTCGACTCGGCGGCGCCGCCGCCGCCGACGACGCCCGGGGCCGGTCAGGGCGCGCAGTTCTCTCCGAGGACTTTTTACGCGGAGAGGAAGCTTTCCGGGGAGAGCTCGCAGGGAGTTGCCAAGAGCTCCGGGGAGGACTGCGCGCAGTTTTGCGAGAAAGAGCAGAGCACTTGGTTCCAGACGTCCTCCTTCTCGACACCTCCCCGTAAGTCCATCCCATGCGTGTTTATAAGAAGCGCAGCGACGCGTCGCTCGCTTACTGTTTCCTCAGAAATCCCCGAGTAAATTTGTAACGAGTTCAACTGAGTTGTTAGAAAAGTTCCACTCTGTAGTCCCTCGTTCCTCCAGCCGCCTGTGCGCGCCTCATCTCTGCGGCAGATTGTATTTTCTTTTACTCCTAATCGCAAAAAAACTGTCCCAGAAAAGGATGTTGTCGTTACTTGCTGTTGCTCCAAACTCCACTCCGAATGCGTAATTTGCAGGCCTGTGACGAGTTTTGAGACACAAGTTAAATTCACTCAATCAGCATCATCAAAATAGTCGGTCCAGACTTCTTTAAGGTACAAGAGGATCGATCGTGTTAATCAATACAAGCCGTTCAATTCAGTTGCGCGCAGTTCAATTTGACGATCATGTAGAGTTTAATTATTTTATCAAACGGTTAAAAAAAAGTAAAAGGAATTCAGCTGATTGCATCCTCATGAGCACCTTACTTGACTCATCAATAAACCAATGTGTTGATTATTGCGCACTGTTTTGCGCATTTTGCGTCTCTGATCAGCTGGTCAAACTAACCTCATCTATATATATTTTTTTGTTTTGTTTTGTTTTCTGCATCAGGGAGCTCTAGTCCGACTCAGTGTACCCTAAGGAAACACAAAAACAACAGGAAACCTCGCACCCCGTTCACTACCTCCCAGCTGCTGGCGCTGGAGCGCAAGTTCCGCCAGAAGCAGTACCTCTCCATCGCCGAGAGAGCCGAGTTCTCCAACTCTCTCAACCTGACGGAGACTCAAGTCAAAATCTGGTTCCAGAACCGCCGAGCCAAAGCCAAGAGACTGCAGGAGGCCGAGCTGGAGAAGTTCAAGTTGGCCTCCAAGCCCGTCCTGCCCGCGTTCGCGCTGCCTTTCCCCCTCGGAGCGCACATGAGCTCTCCGTCGTGGGGCCCCTCCAACGTCTTTCCGAGGCCCAGTCTGCCGGTCCCGGGACTGTTCAGCGGACCTGTCACCTATGGGATGTACTATTTGTCTTAGGATCTCCGGAAAGACCTGGCGAGGAGATGAAGAAAAAAGAAAACATTTGTATTATTATAAAAGAAAAAAACTTAAAGTTGGGAATTTGTTTTTCAAACATGCGCGCATTTCTAGAACTAAAATGAAATAAATTTACGTCCACTTCAGTTTTAAATCCCCAGAAAAAAGAATAAATTAAAATCTTTGAAATGCCTTAATTTCAGGTGATCCACTGTGGTTCCGCAATAATATAAAGGTGGACGCTTAAATTAGTAAGAGAGGGAGATGAAACAGCAAAGTACTTATTGTTCGGTGTCTGTGCCTTATGAAAGCGTCTTTATTGTCACTTGAAGTATTTTCACCCAGAATTACCTGAGTGGTTCTGCTTCTGAAAGGATTGATATTTTTGAACAGCAGCTCCTGTCAACTTTTATATTTTGTAATTAAAAATTATAATTAAAAAAAAACATAAAAAGGGACCAAATGATATTTTAGCAAATGGTATTAGTTTCTTAAACCTTCACAGTGTGGCCTTAATGGGTACTATAGTTTTTTTTTCTTCTACTTTGCTGTAATTGTAAATAAAACGTGTGGCGTTCAAGAAAAAAAAAAGAAGAAACATTGCAGCGTCGTTGGAAGCGCAGGGAAAGTGGTATTTATTGAATGTCTTTGTATCTGTACTGTGTACATTTCTTTGTAAAGAAAACTAACTTTAGTAAATAAACATTTAAAGACTTGAAAGTTAACTGCGTGAACTGTTTTTAACTGATTGATCAGAGTCGCAGCGTTTGCACCGCACCATAACAATAACTTTTTGTTTTGTTTTTCTTGTCTTTTTTTGTTTGTGTGTGTGTGTGTTTTTTTTTTTTTTTTTGTTTTTCTTTTTCGAGGTGGTGTGGTGGGGGCTGTTTTTCTTTTCTTTTTCTTTTTTTTCCCCCCACAGAGACACACAAGACACAAGAGTTTGCCAAACCTCGACTCCTGATTGCTGCTGTCAACTTTGAGGGATGCCAAACAATTGCATTTTTTTCCGTAGTTTTTTTTTTCCTGAAATTTGTGGATTAGGATCCGATGTCCTCGTTCCGATGCTAAATTTCAATTCTAAATGTTGAAATCGATTTTCCTCATGTGTTTTTCAGCACTTTTTTTTAAACCAGGAATACAACAAGATGTTTTCTCGCGTCTTTTTCCACGTAAAATTTACTTTCAAAGCAATTGACGTTTTCATTCAGAGTTGAAATGTATTTTTAATGCGACATATTTGCATGAATATGTCAAAATTACAAACTTATTCAAAGTTGTCTTTAAAATACATAAAATACACACACACACACACACACACACACACACACACACACACACACACACACACACACACACACACACACACATATATATATATATATATATATATATATATATATATATATATATATATATATAGATATAGATATATATATATATATATAAACACAAAACATTAAGAAAATAAAACCTGTAATACAAAATGCACATGTTGGCAACAAGCGGGGCGTTTAGACCCACAAAGTTTCCCGTTTAAAGACGTTAGAAAGTTTGCATGACGTTTTTCTGAACGTTTAAAAGCTACGTGGTTTTTAAATAATATTGGCTTTACAGCTGCGCTGTCAGGGCATGCATTATGGAGGACTAATGGTGCCATAATCCAACACATGCAAGTATATGACAACTGAAAGAAAGAAATACAGCAACTTAATTGTGTCAGAAACGTTTTGGTCTACAGAGAGCCAAAAGCTGAGACTTCCCTAACAAAAAACAAAACAACAAAAACAAAGAAAAACAGTAATCTGATGAATTACTACCTACATAAATATTAATGGAAGCCAAAAAAAAGTAAATATATTTTTTTAAATGAGCAATTCAGTGTTCTAAAACTGCTACAATTTGTTAAATTAAAAGAATAGTTAAATTAGTGTCTATGTTATAAATAAATGCATTTTATAGTTATAATTTGTCAATACTTGATGGAATTGACAAATAAGTATTAAAAATAAATAAATTGGGATTTAAAATGTGGATTTTTTTTTATATTTTACAAGTTATACGATCACTTCACATGATCACTATGATTCTCGAACTATCATGAAATATTTCAAGTTGTCACTTTGGTCCATCGAGCCAAACTCACAGACTTTGATAGAAGAGCAGCAGCACAAGACTGGAAAAAAATGAAATAAGTATTTCAAAAAATGAATATTTAATATTTAATTTATGGAGATATTTTTGTATCCAGTTTTAATTTTCTTACTCCGCTTAATAAATATTTTCACATTTACAGAACAACATATAAGCATATATTCATTTTACTTTCATGTGTGTTTCCAATTTTATTGAAATGAGATTTAAAAATGACTTCTTTATTTATTCGGCTGTGCTACATTTAGTCCCTGATCAATGATATCCGGGATCAAACTGGAATCTTTAGGAAGATTCCAATGATCCAAAATTTAGGCTTATTATTCAAACTCTAAGCAAATGCTGAACTTTAATTACAGGAATGTTGAAAACAAACATACGCTATCTCTTAAGTTTGATTCTCATTCTTGTGCTACTTAAATCGAGCCTTCAAATCTGTATAATCAGATATATTATGTGTTGTCACTTTGTAGCTGACCCCTTCCAAGGCTTTCTGAAAGAACCAAGTCAGAGTTGAATCAACTGTAGGTGCTCAGTCGGTCCCCTAGGGGGCAGCAAAGGTTATCCGCCTCTGCTCTCACTACTTCTCATGAAAAAGAACTTCCGTTGCTCTGATCCGTCACAGTTATCTGCAGCGAGGTGAGTACACAGCTGCATTACGGACAGAAGGATTGACGTGGAATAATTGTGTGGAAACGGTTATGTTTATTCCACGGCTGTATCTTTATACAGAAAACAGTCGGGTGAACGTATGTGCGGCTCACTGTTTTGAGATACGGCTCTCGTTTCAAATGGAAACGTCTGACCTTGGCTAGCAGGCTAACGGAACGAGCTAACATTAGCCTGTGTTAATGTTAGAAAATGTCAAGGACGGTGACTTTCCTACGAGTGTAGTTCTGCATTTGTTCTTTTGAAACGGTTTAGTTTTAATTTATTAACAGCTTTGAGTAGTTTAAGATTAGGTTGTGGTTAAACGGCAGAGATTGTGGCTTTTCGACCACGTAGATTATGAAAATAGATTGTATTTTGCGAAAAAGCTAGTTAAAAGGTCCTATATAAACAAGCAACAGACAGCACATTTTATTCTCACTCACTTTCTGGTTCCAAGTAACAGACAGAAACACACGCTTGATGGTGTTACAATACATTCGCACAATTAAGCATAATTGACAGGCGCACTGTATTCCAATGAAGTTGTGCGATTTAGGAATCATATTTCCTATTTATTTGTGCAAAGTTATTTCGATTAATGTCTTTTTTTTACAGTGTTTTTAAGTGTTATATATTTTTCACGAAGGTAGTGGCGTGCTTTTATTGGATTATCGTTTTGCTGCTGTTCAATTGCATTTTTTAATAACTAGAGATACCAACACTGTGTTGGTGGCCAGACCAGTAGGTTTCCAAACAAGATTATCCTACAAATATAAAACTATAGTCACAATTGATAATTTTGTCTAAAAGAGCCCTTACAGAGGAAAGTGAGATTCTTTCCGTAGATCTGAAAATAAAACCAAAAATTGTAAAAGATGACCTTCTACAAAAAATTTGTTTCCGAATACTTGTAAAAAAATAAATATCCTCAATAAAATCAGTCAAAAGAAGTAGTTCAGACAGCGTTTTGCTTTCAATCAAAAATATATTTTACTTTAATATATTTGAAGTAGGAAACTGAGATTCAAACTATTTCAAATATTTTGGTTGCAATTTGGACCTTGTGCGGATTAAGTAATTGTGTCAGATCTGGTGATTGGTTTGTTTTAGTACGTAGACCTGAAAATATTAACAAGCATACTGTTTGGTTTTTCTCACATTATTTACATATCTTCCAAACCGTGTTTGAGTTACGGTTGGAACAAATCAAGCCTGTCAATGTTGCAAACGAAAAGCAGCTGCAAATGGCTAAAATGTCTTTTCCAAGTTGAAATCAGACCATTAATCAATCTAAAGAGAATTTCAGCTTCTACTATGTTCAGTTTGAGATATACAAGCCTTATGTAAAAAATAATTCACCTTGAGTTTTCTATAGTTGTCTTCTCGACTTAGTAAATTTTTCCTAAGTAAAAGTATGAACTCTAGGATGAAAAAAACAGACAGATTTTAATCAATTTGTGAAAGCTGTATGAGGAACAGCTGACTTATCATAAATACAGCAACATTTTAAAGACTTTCCAGACACCTCAGGTTTAACTGGGTAGCATAACTACGGAACATTTCAATTTACGGAGAAGATGATCGCAACGGGATGTGAGCGACTAAACAGTCTTCTTTTTCAGAGTCAAGATGGCAGGCCGCCGTGCAGCCCTGAAGGCCATTGACTGGTTGGCGTTTGCTGAGCGGGTTCCTCCCAACCAGCGGAGCATGTTCAACGCTCTGAAGACTCGCACCGATGCCATCTCTGCTAAGTATGCCGCCACAGTGGTTGATGTACTTATAACTGTGACTTACTTTTCAGAATGGGGTCTACGAAAAGTTGTTTTTTCAGGGGCACGACTAAACACTAAGATACTTTGTGAAAAGCAAAGCAATGAATTTCATCCTACTCAATATATTTCTCAGCATAGAGTAAGAAAATGTCCCAGGTGTTTGTTTCTGACTGGGGTGGAAGTTGCTAAAAAGACAATTCCGCTCATAGACGTTGAAAGTTTGATCTTTCAAAGTAAAGCTCACAGATGCATTTATAAGTAAAATGATCACTGTCCTAATGGACTTAAGCTGAATAGGAGATTAGAATTTTATCTTCTTTTCAGAAAGTTAACCAACTTTTAAAAAAAATTAATATTTTGAAAAAGTTGCAATGAAAATTAAGTTTTACGTTCAAAATGATACTCAAATTATTCAGTCAATGACATAATAACCGTAGTTACTACATCAATCCAAATATCCTTGACTTTTTATTAAATAAAGTCAACATTTTTCCTGATAGAACTACTTTACGTTCTATATCTTAACGCAAGTTATAGTCTCCCAAAATCTGGTGCTCATTCAGGAGTAAAGACCACGTTTCAGTTTCATAATTTTTTTTTTTGTCATACCTCGATTTGTGTACATTATAACTATTCTTTTTCTTTTTGTCCCCCCAACAGTTTCCATGCATTTAATTGTTTACAGTTGTGTCTGCTCAGCGTTGCTTCCTTTTAACCTGTTGAAACTGATTCTTGTGTTTGTTCCAGACTAGCCTCTCTGCCTGAGAGTCCTGCACCCATCGACTGGAGCTACTACAGGACCGCTGTGGCTAAAGCAGGCATGGTCGACGAGTTTGAGAAGAAGGTAATTTTCCTTTCTAAATACACAATACCATTGTTACCACGAAATGATTTGCTGCACAGACTAAAGACAAAAAGTGTGTACTTTCTGTTAAAATCCATCCACAAAGATTTTTTTTAGACCTTCTATTTAAGACATTATGCATTTAAAATGAGATAAATGGCTTATTTTATTTGGCTATATTATAATCCGGTTGAAGTTTAATTTTAAGAATAATCCGAACCAATTTGTGGATTACATAGTTAAGACATTAATTGTTTTATTTTTGCAGTTCAAAGCTCTGCAGATCCCTGAGCCTGTCGACACA